AATCTCAGATCTTTCCAATGGCGCGGCAGTGCTCTGCTTACTCTGCAATTGCGACTGCTGGAGCAGCACGATCAATATTACATACAAGTACATACTTTCTGTCAAAAGATCTTTTCACCATAAAAATTGTCAAGGGAGCTTTTTTTTGTCAGACTTTCGTGACAGAATAAAAAAATCTTTCAAGCTATCTTACCTACTTTCTTTCAATTGTTTTGAGAAAAACTTTCAATTATCTTAGCCACAATTGCCATGGTGGTATCAAAACCGGTACTTTAAATACAAAAGTTTTTAATTACACCCATTACAGGTTGAGACCCAAAAAGAAATTTTGAACTGTTCCATAGTGCACACATAAAATAGCCGACCTCTGACTTCCCCTTCATAAGTTAATTTTGGAACAGTCTTGTCGTATGAGTAACATTTTGCTTATATGTATGAAGATTTTCAAACTGTTTGTAATACGTCATAGTCGAAATAAAATCTTTCAGTGTTGAACAAAAGGCAGAGGTAAATGTGTTAGATGCGTTGCATTGAGGGGGCACGTGAAGATATGACGTGCGATGTGAGGTCAATCTTCCATTAGAGTACGCCAGCAGGAATATCCAGTATAAATAATACTTGCCGAGAGTTGCTAATTTGACTTGGTGGGCAACTGAAACACAAGGAGGCATTGATGGCCTTCAAGGGCACAGTTGTACTCCAGATCGAGGGACCTGATCACGCTGCTGACGAATACGAACCTATAACGCCACTTTGAACACACATACAAATTTATATATGTACATAGTTCACTACATCTTTATTTATTTATACCCAAAAGCTTAGCTTAGCTTAGCAGTTAGTTTCAATTCGATAAACTTGTTAAGGTTTTTCACAGCCTTTTACTAATTGAAGACCACATGTTGTCTTTTCAACGTATCAAGATGAGCTACATACAAATCATACATACAAACATGTAAGTAAGTAAAATTATTAACCGCTAATTAAACGAGTTTTTTGTATTGTTTTTGCGCTTAATTGTTTGAATATTTGTTAATAAGTGCACACATACATACATCTAAAAATTAGTGAAATTAGCGGAATTATTTTAATTTATTATACATTTCTAGCCTTCTATTTTGTGCGCTGCCTTTCTATATTGCCTTTCCTTAAAATTAATCAAAATTGTATTTATGTATTAAATGCAAAGATGTTAAGTACATATTTCAAATACAAGTATTTGCCATACAAAAAAGTATTTTGTATTTAAATACATGTTTAGAAGAGTATTTTTTATTTGTATTTTTAATTCTTTTTTGGGCAGTATTTTGTTTATTAAATACCTTTTCTATTCTTCATTATACGTCATATCATAAAATTTTCCTATACAAGACTGTCATTTATTATACCTTTCATGAGCATGAAATGGTATTATAACTTTGGTCCGATGTTTGTAAGTACCAGAACAAAAAGAGATAGACCCATGAAAATGTATACTTATATGATCAGAACGTCGAGCTGAGTTGATTTAGCCATGTCCGTCTGTCCGTCTGTCCGTCTGTCTGTCTGTTTGTATGCAATCTAGTCTCTCAGTTTTCGAGATATCCGGATCAAATTTGGTAGGTGGGTGTATTTTTATAATGTATTAATCATTTGTCGGAACCGGAAGAATCGGACCACTATAACATATAGCTCCCATACAACTGATTGTTCAGATATGAGATTTTTCATTATAACTTCTCCATTTATGCAGCTACGAACATGAAATTTTGCAATTCTGGCACCCATTATCAACAGAATACTTACAGTGAAAATTACAAAGATCGGGTCACTATAACCTATAGCTCCCATACAACTGATTGTTCAGATATAAAATTTTGCGTTATAACTCCTCCATTTATATAGCTAGGAACATGAAATTCCGCACTGTTTTCAATAATTATCAACAGAAAACTTACAGTGAAAATTATAAAGATCGGGTAACTATAACTTATAGCTCCCATACAACTGATTGTTCAGATATGAGATTTTTCGTTATAATTCCTCCATTTATGTAGCTAGGACCATGAAATTTCGCGCTGTTTTCACTCATTATCAACAGAAGACTTACAGCGAAAATAACAAAGATCGGGCCACTATAACCTGCAGCCCCCATACAACTGATTGTTCAGATATGAGGTCTTTTATCATAACTCCTCCATTTATGCAGCTAGGAACATGAAATTTCGCACCATTTTCACTCATTATTAACAGAATACTTACAGTGAAAATAACAAGGATCGGATGACTACAACATATATCTTCCATACATCTGATTGTTCAGATATGGGATTTTACTGTAAAACTCCTTTATTTGAACAGCTAAAACCGATAAATTTCGTAAGATATTTTATAAATAATAATACAAAGTCTACTGAGAAAATCGTCAAAATCTATGCTGTATAAGCTTTATCTCCTATAGCACTGATTGTTCAGATACCAGTTTTTGCGATATATCTCCTTTATGTAGGAAACTAAACCCAATAAATTGTGTTACCGGTTTACATACCGATCACATAGCGGTGAAAATCACTTAGATTGGTGTCATATAAAGTATATCTTCCATACCTCTGATTGTTTAGATGCGATTTTTTATATAAGTATGTAACTCCTCTATCGATGTATGCAGATGTATTCAAAAGTAGTAATCTGTCAAAGTAAAATTTGCAGATGTTCATGAAAGGTATGAAGCCTTCGGCATAGCCGAAGACAGCGCTGCTCTTACTTGTTTTTTTTTTACATTTGAAAATTTTCTCATTCGGCTTACCCGAAATGTATTGCGAAGCGTAATGCACAAATTGCAAATTTCATCATTCTCTTCTCTTCACTTTTTCATTGCAACAAATACATAAGTTTTGAGATTTTTGTTAGCTACAACGTTTTGTATCTGTATTTGTATTTCAAATACTTTTTTGTGGCGTATTTGTATTTTTTATTTAAATACTATTTTACAAGTATTTTTAACTTCCCTGATTAAATATTCCACGCGATTTTCAGTCAATACACAAATTAATTTGGCCGTAAACTTTACTACAGCAGATTTTTATAAAGCCAGGAAACCGGTTTTGAACCGAAACGCCTTTTATATGAAAGCAAATGCCTCAGCAATGCGAATTTTAAGACACTTCCAACTTGAACTATATTATACTAAAACAAGTAAGCACTCTGCGGCTATGCAGAAGGATTCATACTAGGGTGTTCAATTATTCCGTTTTTTTTTTTTCAAACCGGTTTTTGAGTTATTCGAAAAATTACAATTTGAAAAAACGTGGTTCCCGATTTTGAAATTAAGAAAAAAAACCGGACAAACCGGTTTTATTTTACATAGTTTTAAAACAGTGAAAATGAAAATTAACTTCTGAAACCAAATATAAAAGTTTTGTACCACATTTTGCGCTAACACAAAATAAAGAGCCACATATACATATACATACTTATATTAACCGAAAAATATTAAATTCTGGATTGTGATACTACTCCACCGAACGGCTGGTATTTGTATTCTGAGTGCAATATTTTCTACCGAATAAGCATGCCAATAATTTACATAACCAATTAATCCTTCATAAAATCACACTTAAAATCCACATGTACATATATATATGTGTATATTTATAGTTTATTTGTCTCACTTAACATGAGCATTTATGTTATTGGATAAAAGAAGTGTTAATTTTTTATTTAAACTTCATATGGAGAGAAAATATTTATCATATTCGAAATCGGATCAGAATTTTTTTGCACAGCAAAATATGTACATAACTACTACTTGTTTGGGGCAAATAATGCCTGAATTCATGGGAAATTATTTTTGTAAAGTAAAGCACAGTTATGCATATGCTGGTATACAGTAGCGTCGAAAAGTATGTATATTAGATATAAGATTTTGGTGGACAGCGCCCTTAGTAGGTAGCCTTAGTTGCACAACAAAGTAGAAAATCCTAAATGTCAGTTCTCCGCGAACTTGTAACGAAGATGGAAGTAGGGTCGGAAGGTCTTCAGTGATAGCCAAGCGGCTCTAAAGACCTTTAAGTATAGCACATCTTGCCTAGTGGATGAGGATGTTAAGTTCAATTTTCACTGCAACTGCCCGGCGTTCGCTATATTAACATGTCGCATTCGGATATTCAAAAAAGCCTAGCCGTAGTGAGTACCCTTTTATTTTATTTTTTGTTCCATTTTGTTTCTGAATGTTCCCACCATTCATGTGCCACCCATTTCCGGAGTTGAGTTCGAATAATTTTTCTCATGACTGTTTTTATGTACTTACATATGTGTATGCATATGTAATACATTTAAATATGCATACATATGTAAATCAAAAAAAAAATTAAAACCACAAGCAACAACGTAATAATATTGGGTCATATATGTATGTATGAAAATTCACTGCGGATTTTTTGTCACTATGTGATATTTAGGTCCATAAATCTGACAACATTAATGCAATTGCGCCCAACTCACGTGCGTTTGAAATAGGACATTTTAGGCTACATTTTTTGTGAAGCCAGTTCTGTAATTCGTCATTCGTACAAAAAGTTGTATTGATTTGAAAATTTGTTTAATAACTGGAGAAATATATGATATGTGACACTTTTACACAACGGAAAATTGTGTGAAGTGTACGGTGAGAATGCTGTGCCGGACCAAGGATAGGTTTTCTCGATACCGTTGCGGAATTTTTGATGTCAAAGATACACCTCGCTTTGGTCGGCCAGTCACTGGAAAGGTTAGTGAATTTTGCTTTATTTCATGGTTTTATGGTTGATCAACAACGGCATGCAAGCTGTCAGGGATAGCGGAGGCACAACAAATCAACCACAGGTCAGTTTGGAATCTTCTGAAAAGTGCATTCTACTCAAACATATTTAATTGAAACTTGGTTGAAAAGTAAAAACGTGATGACACGATCAACACGGTCTTCTTCTACTCTGCACAACTCTACCGTTTGTATGAGGCAATCAAGAAAGAGCGACCAGAATTGGTCTACTAAAAAGGAGTTATGGAGTAGGCCACACACATCCTTAATGACTCGGAGCATATTAACGGAACTTGGTTGGGAAGCATCCGCCGCATAGTGCCTAAGTGCCATAGTGACTTTTATGTGTTTCGGTATCTGTCAAACTCTCTTCATGGTGAAAAATTGGCCCGCCGTAGAGCCGCTGAAAATTACAAAATTTCTACACCGATGGAATTATGAAGCTACCCGAATAGATAATAATGGCCAATTTACTTGAATGAGTAAACTCAATTATAAATAAACAAAATTTTTACAAAAATGTGCTTAAAAATCCGCGAAGTTTTTTTATTCGACCCAATTTGTTAACAATGTTCTCAGGGGTTATCACAAGTACTGGTGTACATGCACTTTTATTTTGTACTGTTTATTAATATATATATATATATGCATGTATGTGTATGTATGTCAATATGCACAAGCATTTAGTTAAGTACTTACTTACACCCATGTTGTTGGCAATATGTAATGTACATACATATATGTAAAATGCCATTAATACAAGTGATAGATTAAATTACTGCATATAAGTATTTGATGTGCAAAAGAATGCGGGCAAAGTGGCATGCCGCAAACAAAGTGCGACGATGACGTCATAAAATGTTGGAAAAAAAACTTTGTGTTTATATATGTATTTACTTATTACAAATAATTCAAATTAACTATCAAGTCGTTAAGAATATGCGCTTAACAGAATAGGGGTATTCACCAAATTAAGCAAGTGACCTGGCACTCGGGAAAAAGAGCTACCTAATTAGCTCAAGCAAAAACTTTGAAAACTTTCGTTGTTTTGAGCTTAACAGTTCTTTTCCCCGAGTGTCAGGTCACTTGCTCAATTTGGTGAATACCCCTAATATGTTTCATTATTATTTGACACCTCAAATGTTTGTCGGTTTTATGCCGAGAACAAAAATCTCCGCCGATTGCTTTTCTGCTTTGAAAAATTACGCCAGTTTTACATACCACGGGAAGGCCGGTTCATCTGCGCTTGTGCCTTCATTGTCTTCGCGAGTGTCATTGCTTTCGTTACCCACCTCTTTTTTCCCCAGAGTATCGTCATCCATGCGTGCATACCAGCAGAAGCGGTGTATTTCTATCCGGCATACATATGTATGCATGTATTTATCGTGTGTTTCGTCATTCAATCTTCCTCACTCATCGAGCGGGGTCTTAGAAATTTATAATAATTCTTTTGAGAGACGCTAAGCTTCCTTACCTTTTCCGACATTGTCCACGTTCCTGCGCCATAAAAAAGAAAGGGCATGATAACCGCGATACTGCCTGCAAATCTGGTACCCCTGCAATTCAGATTGGCAGCTCGTATTACGTTTTTCAACATCCCAACGGAATCTGTATGCTGATGCTGAAACATTTGTAGTATACCTCACTGAGATCCTTAACCTGTCAATGACCACTCTCATTATTCCTGATGTGTGTAAACTGCTGAAACCGGGGAAACGCGCCAACAAAGGAGACTCTTATCTCCCGATAACGCTCCTTTCCCCGATCGCGAAGACACTAGAGACCCTGCTACTCCCGTACTTCACCTACCACTTGGCCCAGCGAAGCATCAGCATGGTTTGGACTTGTCAAATGCGTTTGACACCGTCTGCAATTCCTCGTTGCCCAAGAAAAATAAAACAAGGGGTTCCACAAGGTGGTGTCCTCTCACGTTTACTGTTCAACTATAACTACATCTCGAAACTCCCCCCGCCTCGTACGCTGACGACTGCTCGATATTGTAATCTGGGAATGGAATTGATGACCTCTGCTCAAAAGTAAACGGCTATCTCTCCAGCCTTTCCCGATTCTTCACTGCAAGAAGCCTAACACTCTCCCCAACGAAATCAACGGTGACCCTCTTCACCACCTGGACGAAGGAGGTCAGGCTAGAATTAGGCATTCACGTCGATGGCACACCAATAAAGTGTAAACAACCCGAAAATTTTAGGGGCCACCTTTGATAGCCTGCTCTCCTTCTCCACACACACAACCGCAGTTTTCAACAAAGTACAAGGTCCTCAAGTCGCTCGCCAGCACCAGTTGGGTCTAGTCCCCGGACGCAGTGGACGAAACTACAGACTTGTCAGAACGCCGCACCACCTGTAGAAGAGGTTGAGCTTCAACTGCCAAGAGACGTACCCATTACAAAAGCTTTATCTTGCTTGCCCTTGTTCTAGTTAGTAAATCGCTACACATAAAGCGTGTGTGTCCCACACATTTTGTTTGTGCAAACTCGAAAGCGAATTGATAACCTCCTCTTATTCACGTTCGCTAGAACTATTGAGCAAAAACGCTCTTTACTGAGCATTGTTGGCTACGACAGCAGCGCTGCATGAGTTACTGTGTCATTCTTAACGAAATAAAAATACAAAGCGAAAAAAAAAATTAAATAAATAAACAAAGCGAAAGAACAAACAACGATAATACAAAAAAAAAATGCGATGTCGAGCAACACATACCAGCCTAAGCATTCAGCTTTCAGCTTTGCTACAACAATGCTCATCAGTCGCTCACTATACTTGGCTCCCGGTGGATTGCTAGACCGCTGACGGTGACGCTCGATGACGAAGCCTAACGTATTTTGAAAACATCTCGGCGTAATTTTTATTTCAAACGCGTCCACCAGCCAGAGAGCTTTTCTCCATAACGACCTTTCGATTTGTGGGTGATTGGATTCTTCTTTTGTGTGTGTCTGTGTGTGTGTGTGTATTGTGCACCAAAAAGCCCCATAAATACGAGAAATGTCGCTTAGGAGAGGTTAAAGCAAATGCACACCACTTGCCGGCACCTAACCTACCTAACAAGAACAGAACAGTGCAGTGAAAAACCTCTGAGATGGTCACACAGACATTGCGGCGTGGGCACATTTTTTAAAGGCATTCGTGGTAGTTCTGTGTATGTAGGTGCGTGAGGGCGCGGGTGTTGGCTTGTCATGCAATCATGTTGACACTAATGACCGCAACGGGTGTACCTGTTGGAGAAATGTGTTTCTAGTCTAGTAGTTGACATCTAAAGAGTGAGATTTTGCTGAATAAAAGTACACCGTGGTTCCTGTCAACATACATATGTACATACTATTTACGTGTTTCTGCGTCGGAGATTTGCAAGTAGCATGCAACGCGGGTCATTAATGCTTATCACACAGGCTTGAAAAAAGTTTACAAACTGACACATGAGTGTGCGTGACAAGAAATGACATATAAAGATGAGAAAAAACATAAAATATAAATACATACAAGCACTTATATACATATGTAGTATAACATAGTGCAATATTTTAAAAAGAAAATTTAATAATCACAAAAAAATTTATGCAAAATTGATTTTCCAAAGTGTTTCCGAACGCCGACATCTAGCAATCGTTTCAATATAAACAAATTAGTTGTGTTAAATGTGTCCGTCGGTGTGGAAATAACAACAAACTAGTGCAGCATATTGACAAATGCATATACATATGTATGTATGTATGTATAATATGCATACCTATTTACATGCTTACAAATGTGTGGAAGCTTTCATACGCTCGCTTAGTCAATTATTAAGTCAACTAGACAATACGTCAAAATATAAGCAAAAAATATGACAACGGAAACATCAACTAATGCCATGCAGCGGCATCTGCTGACCATCGAAAAGTTACGCACCCGAGTACGTCAAATGTTGCAATGTGTAATCAATTTGCATATTGAATTTTTGGTAAATGGAAAGATATATAGATTACAATATTTTACATAAATATAATATTCGTATTACATAGTATTTAGGTAATACACGAGGTGTGTCATGGGAGTTATGTTTGCATAATAATGGTTGAAAATATTTGTTGATTGTTGAAAATCATAGAAAAAATTTTAATGTATATACATTAGGTTAGTCAAAAAAAGAAAAGTAAAGTCGGTATTTCAATTCTCTCACCCCCAGGTATTGTGCTATATCGAAAACATATACATACCTTAATTTTTTTATTTTGAGATAAAAAATATTTTTAGAGGTCGCTCAAAATTTTCCATGTACTTTATAAGACGGCTGTCTTTTCTACACTTTCTTACATGCTTGACTTACAGGATAGCTCGGTATCTAGGTTCAAGCGCAGATACTATGTACATAATTGTGAGTATATCAATGTGTGCTCATTATGGTGGTCCTTAAAATTTCAAAAATTTTGGGTGTCACTACTATAGGTGGAAAAAAAAATTTTTTTTTAAGTCACAAAAATTCGGCAAAATTTTGCCTTGGTTTATTTTAACTTGGTTTATGAATTTATATGAATAAGTTTCAGTGATAACTATGTCGAATTTAGCAGATTTCAAGACAAACTTTTGACTTTTTGCGATGAAAAAATATATTTTTTTTTACCCTCTCAGCGAACACTAAAACTCTTTTTTTTTAATTTTTCGTAGATGTCTTTATTTTGCCCGTAGAACAAAGAACAAAAGAAGTGCTGCGTATATAATTTAGATGTTGACATTTTTAAGCTTCACCCTAGTGTATATCGATATCAAACTTGCTACCGCTTGGTCTCGTAATCCTCTTCTCTACAATTCGCGCGGTACAGATTATCTTTTCGTAAAGAGAAATTTTCATTGCTGGGAATAATCGCCACCTCGCTGTTACATTTCATTTGTCCCAGGGTCAGTCCATTTTGTTCCTTTAATTTGAAATGCCCAAGCTGTCTTCCAAACCTAATTGCTAAATCGAAACTGACATTAAATTTTTTTTCTCAATAATGAAAAAATACTTAAAACTGCTACTACTTAAAATTCCTTATCGCACTCTCTTGCATTTTTCGCAATTTTTTTAAGCGGTCTAACAAAGTATCTTCATGATAAGAAAATAATAATACCAGAATCACATGGCCTTGTCATTTTTCAGCGATAAATGCTATAATCGGCGATATAAGAGAAAAAAGCCCAAACAAGAGAAGGTTTTAGAAACCCACCCACCCCACTGAAATTTTCCCATCGGCTATTCACTGATGATTGCATTATTTGTATTCGTGCCTTCTTCTATTTAACAATTAGAGCATTTACCCAATGTCAATATTCTTGAGGCGCTCGAGTGGTTGAATATATGTATGTAAATATTTACATACATATCGCACACCGTCTTCAAAAGAGACACAACTCAAAATTACACGTTCTTATTATATGGGCAAGGTAGACTTTAGCTTAGGTTTTTCCAACAAAATAATAACAAAAATTTGCTCAAACTTTTGCTGAAAGGCAAATAAAGTCGCTGCGTACATTTTTAATGTCAAAAATGTCAAATTTTGAGTTGTGTCACTTTTGAAGATCGTGTGCGATATGTATGTATGTATGTATGCATATCTTGTAAACGTAAAGAAAATAAAATTAGTATGAATACAATTTTACACAATTCAAAGGCAAACAAACAATCAGCACCAACACAACATATCATTACCGACACCGTCAACTGCTTCTTCAAACACTTTCGTTGTACTATTTACCATTATTTAACCTCAATCCCTACCTAAGTACAAACATATGTACATATGTACTTGAATTGCATACACAAGTAAAGGGTGGTCCATATAGTGTTTTTTTTTAATCATATGTTATTTTGCCACTGGCAATCATAACGTATCTCCGCGGAACAAAATTAGTCCCTTTACGCGTAAACGACGTTGGTAAATAAGAGCAGCAGGGGTGAGTTCAGAAATGCATTAACCCAAAGCATCAGTCTCTTTTAATTCTAAACTGAACTTGATGGAAATGTCAAATATGCGCAACCACGATGAAATGCCGAATTGGAACTTTGTTACGTGAATAAGGCATTTCCATCAATTATAGTTTAGAAGTAAAAGAACCAGCTCGAAACTAATTAAAATCTTGCTCGATTTTTTTTTCTTTTTGACGAAGCGCATTTTTATCTCGGCGTATAACTGCCGCATCTGGGAATCGGACAACTCTAACTTGATCATCGAGAAGCCAATGCATCCTCAAAGAGTGAAAGTTTAGTGCGGTTTTTGGTGCGATGGCATATTGGCCCATTATTAATTGAAAATACTGCTGGAAACGACATTTTGGTCAACGGTGAGCGCTAAAGAGGCTTGATAAACGATATTTTGTGGCCAGAAATTGCAGACATGGACTTGAACGTGTTATCAGCCGTCTCGCCGATGTTAATTGGCCACCTTGGAGCTGCGATTTGACGCGGTTAGGTTTTTTCTTTTGTGGATTGCCGTGAAGGACCGATGTTATGCGAGCAATCCATTAACGATTCAGGCCCTTAAGGCGAACATCGAGCAGGCCATTCGTGAGCTAGCGCAAGAAACTGTCACCAAGGTCTTGGAAAACTGGGTTAACATCATGCGCTACTGCGAAGCCAGCTGAGGCAGCAACAGGATTCAAATCATGTTCCATACAAAATGGGAATGTCTACTATTTGGAATAAACCAACAATATATCTAAGAAATTTGATTTTTTGTTAATTTTTAAAAAGAAACCACTTTACGAACCACCCATTACATACATTTCATACATATTTTTGTTGGAAAAGGGTGTAAGACAATGGGTAAACTAAATTGTTGACAATGTTGATGACGGTAGCAATAACACTATACATAGTTACATACATATATATAGGTAGTAGTTAAGCATTTTTGTTCGTTAATCTGGGTAATTTGCAGCGGTATGCTGACTTACGTAGATAAGACAATAGAAGACTGCAGTTACCTAAATGGATAATTCGCACAAAGTATTTTCGTTTACGCGGTTCCCTTATCTCTTTGATAAAGCATAGAATGCAGAGTTTGTTATTACAAGGTATGAACATAGGCAAAGGCCTGAAATAAGGCGAAATATATATCAAGGAAGCTGTGTAACATCAATGATCGGTACATATAATTAGCATACGATTTCCAGCACTGATGGTATGTATCAGGGTAGTTTTAGAAGTCAGTGGCTTTTTGAATACTTTTTTATTCGGTAAAAAATGATTTTATTTCTCAACATTGTGTCCCTTCAACTCGATATATACACTCTAGTGTTTTTCCAATTAGTTATCCCATCCAAATAATAGGTTTCTTCAAAGTTCTCTATAGGCATTTTTTCAGTGATTAGCTCTTCATTCGTTTCAAGTTTCTTACCATCCGTGCCATATCTTCAGATTTGGAACAAGGAAATAATCGAAGCGCGCTAAATAAACTACGATCTTAGGGCCGTAACTCCAAGCGCTGTGGTGCGCTTCGTTGAAATCCTACTACCTCTCGTCACCTAAATACTTGTATCCAAGCGCATTTTACTGATGTTCTTTCATATCACATTTTTATAAATTTATGAAACTTTATGCATAAATGCATAAATACATATATATATGTAACTATATTTACTATACGTAATTTGTATTTTTTTGTCCACAGTATCGATTAATCTGCAATATCTTCCAACAGGTTTTAGAATCGAATGTTTCTCAACTAATCGACGAAGTGAAAGACTTCAACGATGAGCTACTCGAAGTACAACGCTTAGACGAGCTTATCATTGCGCTGCGCAATTATAATGGTCCAACAATATGTCACGAATGGCCATATCCGCTAATATTTAAGGGAACCATCGATGATGCAGATGTCGCACAAATTCTCAATGGCAAGCAGCGAATTGGTGGTAATCGTAGGAAGAGCAACGACAACAAATTTAGCAATGGATTGAAGAGTAGAGCAACAATGAACACTACTGCAAGTCTAGTTAGTAATGAAACGGTATAGCATTTAGTAGTTTGTAAACTTAGACACTTAGAAATATGTAGTATGTATGTATGTAGAGAATTATTAAGTAAAATTTCTTCAAAGCTGTTATGAGTTTTCCATATACATATGTATGTATGTATACATGGTATATAGGTAGATAAATATTTATTCTAAATGTGATGATTTTGCTAACATGTATGTATGTATGTATGTTCATACATATTCGTATTCACATGGCAATGGCTGATGATATAGCCTTCATATAAATAGCATATCAGGTGTCTTATTTCTACGTACATACATACATACATACGATGAATACTTTACGCCTTGGTAGTTATGTATGTATGTTCATATGTATGTACGCACACCTAAAAAAGTCAATGAAGTTGTGATTTACTATGTACGAGTATGTATGTATGTATGTACCTATGTAATATGAACAATGTTGAGAGATTATGTTGCCATTAAATAAAGACTGTGTGAAAAAATGCATGCATTTGTTTCTAGTTTTTTTTTTTATTAGATACACTTAGAAAATTAATTAGTTTGAATATTGAAAAAATAATAAAATACCTACTTATACACACCAATTTTCTAGGTAAATTTTTTTGGAGGAAAATAGTCAACTCCGCGTTAGCAACTTTTGTTTTTGTAGTTTATTCTATTTGAAAAAATAAAAAATAAAATGTCGTCCCAATGAGACTTCATCCACCGTTCCTTCAAAGAAAAAACAAAAACGCTTTAAAATTCTTTAAAAAACTTCCTACAATTTAAAGAAGGCCGCTCAACTTTTTTTTTAGAGTGTAGAAAAGTATGACCACCTGCTATCGCTGTCAAAGTGCGATCAGTTCCAGATGCGGCATTGGTATTTTGTCAACATTGATATGTATGCGCATGTTGCTATGATTATTAATAAGCCGCGAAAATCAAATGATCTGTGAGAATTTCCATAAACCACAAAGCTAGTGAGCATAGACGAGCTTGCATATTACATACTTACTATGTATGTACATATGTACATACATACGAGTATCTTAGCGGATATTTGATATTCGAGTTGGTGGTGTTTGCGAAGCTAACCACTCAGTAGCTGTTGGGAATTTTGCTCCATCTCATAACTATTATGTAGAGTATTAATAAATGAATAAACCGCGGAGAGCTGGAATTAATGTACGTATGCATGTGTCCCTCTGCCCAATTCATACGGTTCTTTTTTCTGTATATTTATTTGGATCGGAAGAAGTGCGAAATCATAATCTGAGTGACATATTCTGAAAGAAATTCCTTCATCCTTTGTCAAATTTGGTTTGGAATCCAGACAAGAAAGGCTAACTTTCTCTACATTGCTTCACAATACAGTACTGCGGTGCTAAAACTACCGTGATATATCTCCAGATCACGAGATACGAGGAGTTTTTTTTGGTTGTTTACATTTAAGAGAGACAGTTCTACCGTGCACCTTGCAAAGGCTTTGCAAGACTTAAAGAATACCGCTACAGTTCCTTATTTGAACTTCTAGATTTTATTACAATACCAGGTTAACCGAGCACTGCTCGAAGTGCATATACTTTTTAAAGTTTTCAAAATTTGGGTATCAAATACTGTCATTTGGATAGCTTTAAAAAAATATATTTTTGGAAATAAATTAAAAAAAAACAATTAGCTTTTTAAATAAATTTTTTACTTTACAATTTAAGTGGCAACCCTCAATGCTGATTGAAATTAACAAAATAAAAAATTGTGTTACATAGAAGCGTGGCAGCCCTGATTTAGGATGCGCATTGTGTTGCGTGTTTTTGGTTTTTATTTTTTAAAAAGGAATATTTAATAGCTAAATTTTTTTTTTTTTCGATCACAAAATAATCGTTATTTTTGATTATTTTTCCATTGTTTTTTTAACCTCTATGATGAACACGGTATTTCTAAGACCATTTTAAAACCTTTATGATCTGAAAAATTACACCTGAAAATAACAGTTGTAATAGAGATTATAAAAATCGCAAAATAACGAAAAATATAAATAACTACAGTCGCTGACTTCGAAAAATTATAATTACATACTTTACAAATGTCATAAATGAACCGCCATTCGACGTTATTCGTAAAAGTTATTCCACCTTCAAATAGGGTAATTTATATCGGGACACCTTGTATATGAAATCGTTGCTGGTCAAAGTGTTTGCTTGAAGGCAATCCGAGGAGCCTCAACAAACCTGAAAGCATTTTTTTCATTGCTCTGATAAATCTTTTTTTGATTACATTTCCTCTTTAAGAAGAAAGAAAATTATAGTTTTAAAATGTTATCAAAGGCCAATTTTTCCATTTAATTTCATTTGAAATAAATACACTTTATAAATTTCCGTTAATTTTAAGCACAATACATACGTGCATTATCAGCTGAGTCATACAAATAATTGAATATTGAAACTGAAGTTTAATAAAAACAATTTTGATAGCATAGTGTCATCTTATCAGCAGAGGCATACGTATATTTGTACATAATTACATATTTAAATTGAATATGTATGTACATACATACATACCATATAAATAAATACTTATGTAAATACTTATGTAAAAAAAACTTATGTAAATACTTATGTAAACAGAATCTGACGGACAAACCCTACGCAACAAATGTATGAAATATTTTTATCAGTAAACCTCTTGAAGTGCTTTTGTTTCCAACTAAATACGAGTACAGGGTAAATGAAAGCTCACTCAGAATGAATGCTTCATGAATGACACAAGACACAAGGTTTATCCGAAACATTTATGTACATTAAATTAATCGGCCCCCCGGACTGGCTTATATTTTCTATAATCAAAAAACTAATTTTAGGCGATTTTCTTCACATTTGATATGCTTTCAACAACGTTCTCCGGAGGCTATTGTCAATTCACCTTCAGAACCCCTGACAGTATTCTTCTTTGGAAAAGATCTGCATACATACATGCTACGAGCTGTATGTCCCCAGTTACGGGTCCAGAGGCACACCGCAAGGCGAAGTGCTCTTACCACTCCTACGGAGCCCACCAATTGCGTCACATAAAGATACTTGGGAATTTGCTTGGACAAAACGCTTACTTGGAGGCGTAAATCTGAAGAAAGAGTGGCATAAAACTAGGTATAGGGCACTGGTAAACATAGCAAGGGTTTCATCTATTGTTTTCCTTGTAGAAATCAGCACCATTTACGAGAGTGATTACAGATTTGTGTAATGTGTTTTTTATTGGTCGAGAGAGGGATATTCTTTGAAATTTTCTATCGATCACAAAGTATCACCTCTTGGCAAGAGTTATTCTTCGTGTTGGTGTGTCCAGCCAACTCTTCGGCGCCGAATTTGGACCACTCATCCGATGTACCGCCGACTTTATTATTCTTAAGCGATATTGCAAACGTAAATTGGCCCACAGCTCTTTCCATAAAAGCTGTCAATACTTTTGAAAAGTCACTTGAATATAGGGAATATACTCTAGCTAGCTTCTTGGGCGTTGAGTGCGCTTTCAAGAATGAGTAGAGCTCTGGAGGCACATGGTATCCAGAAGTTTATAGTGACAAGTATTAAGAGCAGAATAATGAACACAGATGTAGGCACAGAGCTCGTCATCAGAAAATAATCGCCGTAAGTATTCGTAGACACATAAAGGGGCATTTACATTGAGGGAATCGAAGTTGTTGGAACCGCTCGAGTATGGCCACGAAGCAATCTTGAATGAACTTAAAATGGGACAGCAGAATTGGTTCATAACCGACTAAGATGCCGACACTGATTACATCAGGTCATTCTGGGAGTTTCGCTTAACGACTCTTACGCGATTTTCAAGTGGAGAAGAATGAGACTGTGGCCAAATGACGGGAAATTATGGAATTTCCGTCTGCACGGATGGCTCAAGATGGCTCATGGAGACGGAAGTTATCGGGAGTTTCTATTCAGACATCCTGCAGATAAGGGAATTTATCGCCTGCCTAACGCCTGTAGTGTCTTTCTTGCGGAGATCTTTACTGTAGAGAAGGCTGCTTGTCTCATAGAAGACTCTAGGTTGTGTTCAAATGAAGTAAATTGACGAGTAAAACACAGCCGTTACAAATGATCTATGGAGTAATGGTGACGTCGGTGAAGTCTCAAGGTTTTTATAGCCGAGGCTTAACACGAAATAAAGGAGCTTTGGACGTTAAACGATGCTCCAACGATAGCGAATACCAACCAGTTGGCGCGATGAGGAAGAGGACTAATCGATTCAGCATTTCCTATGTCAATGAGCAACTTTCCAGTCAAAGCGCCTCAATATACTTTGGATCACGCTTTTTCACTAGTTTGGTAGAGATAACGGAAGTGTAAATATCGAAGCTCCACAATTTCATCCGGGCTAACGGAGGACATTCACAATGGGGAAACTTTCGTCCGAGTAGATGCACGCCTTTTTAACCTAACCTAACCAAACCAAACCTAACCTAACAATATGGTTGTTTCTTCATATCGATATCCATAGCTTAAGTGCCTTAAATTTGAAAAACTTTACGAGCATTTTACCTTCATTTCTAGGTGAAAACTTCAGTAATCAAGTGCATTTTCTACCAAAATTTTACATATCGGAAGTGATTAATTTGCAAGAATTTGAATTCGAAATCACTCAAAATACCATAATCTATACCAAGTACAAACAAACAAATGTGCGAGCCTAAATTGTACTCGTGTGTGTATATCTTACAACCATGCTTACCCGAGTATCAGTATACCAACATAATCGGCACTCAACAAATTTTCGTAATTGAGATGAATGATTTGCTTTCACAACAAAAAAAAATAAAAAATTAAGACAACATTAATACATAGAGGTGGTAATGCATATGTACATACATACATATATATGTATGTAGATATGTACTCACATACGGCCACTAGAATTGTACAGCGCAAAGATAGCATAGAAAAGAGCAGAAATAGAAAACACTACAGAAGTGCTCAGCCACTTACGGAAATGACCATTGAGTACTGCATGGATGACCAGTTGGCTGCCCATTTGTGCTCGTCTAGTCGTAAAAGGATACTTACAAACAGGCAATTGTTGTAAAATGAGCAGTGTATACAATGGTGCTTTAGTTGTTTATTTTCCTTTGTTGTTGATGTTGTTGTTGTTGTTTGGGTCTTTGTTGCACATCATTCCAATTACAAGGGATGCGTAACAGTCATTCTAGGGGCAACAGCTTAAAAACCAGTCATAGGTACTCTCGTAAGTGCAAATTGCAGACGCGGTCAACGTATAACAAAAAGTAACAACAACAAACAACTCCTTTCCTACAGAAATACAATGGCCAGTTTGCCACCATAACCCTCCCGCCGGTAGCACACACACACATGAGACCCATTCAATCTTCATCCCAGGTTGGCACTATTTGCAACCAATTTTATTATCGTTACAAATTGACAGTGGAAGCAAGCGCATTATATGTATGTAAATATACATACATACATACATATGTAGCAAGA